GCTGGGGTTGGGGCCTCTGTTGACCTTGACTGCAGGGCTGACTTCAGATCTTTGCTTTCTTCAGAAAACATGCCCACTGCTGTGGCGAATCCCTCGTCTTACACTTTTCTCCCTGGGGCCCTCTCAAAGCCACCTGCTGGCCTCCCATGGCCAGCCTGCTTGGATCAGAAAGCAGCAGCTCTCCTGGTGTGGGTGGAGTCGCTTGCGGGCCTTTCCGGTTCCAGCACCGACTTCCTGCCTCTGGGCACCCCTGGGCCTCTCCCTCTCCTTCACCTCATATACCTCTTTCCCCTCCTGCTTCCGCCCTCATGCTCCGAGGCTCCCCTGTCCAGGCACAAGCTCCTCAGCAGTCCCTGTGACAGGTTTTAGTCATGCTGGTCTCATTCGGGGTGAAGAACAGACTTTCCCACCAGGACACCCCGCTTGCTCACCACCTGCTTCTGTCTCTGGACCTGTTTGCACAAAGGTTAATAAAACACCTCTCAGGTCCTCTGCTCAGTGTGAGGTGCCAGAGGCAGTTGACCAAGTCGTAGGGAGGGAGCTCGCCGCACAGCTTTCTGGCTTCCTGGGGCCCCTTGGCACAAGACTGTCATCTCAGTGGCTGAGACAGCGCTTTCTCCCTGTGTGCAGAGGAGTATAAATACAATGCACCGGCACTTCTTACTGGCACTGTTCATGGGGGCATATTCTGCCCTGTGCCGGCCTGTCTCAGGGCATGTCTCAGTGTCGCATTGGTGGCTTCTATGTCGCCTGTGACAGTCAGCCAGCAACGCTACCTCCTCCAGGAGAGTCCCAGCCTCTGAGCCAGTCTCTGGCCAGCCACGCTTTTCCTGCCAATTGACCCAGCCTGTCTCTCAAGAGCCCATGGCGCCTCCATGGCCACTAGAGTAAACCTCTTTGAGCTTTCTGCTCTAGTCAAATTCTTGCTTCCACCTTAGCTGGATGCCCACCTGAGGCTGTTCCGTCTCCAGACAGCGTTCTCACCCCCAGTTCAGCCTCTACAACTTGACACTGGCCCCAGAGTCCCCCATGCAGGGTGACAGTCTCTGCCCTGCTGTTTCCTGAGCCAGCTGAACTGAACAGGCTGGCTTGTAAGGTGAGGCTGTTCTGATGGCCTGAACCCCCCCCCCCAGACTCAGGATCAAATCCAAATCAGAGGGGCTCCCTTATGCACTACTGCCAGCCAGCGGCCAGTGGAAATTTCTGTCCATCTCACCTCTACTTCTGTCTCCTCTTAATCTTGCCACAAGTGAATTGGTCCAGTGAAAACCTTTGTTGAATTCCGTGTGTGTCAGAAATAGTCCCCATAAGCACCTTACATGCCCTGTTCTGTGTCTTCACAATTCCCTGAAATCTGAAAGGTATTCTTGGTTGTACTCATAAGTACACTGAGGCACAATATAAAGGAACTTGCCCAGTGGTGGGGCAGCGAGCAGCGAGGAAGGCCCCTCCCGGCTTACAGCACTGCCAATCCAGCTGGGGGCCCACTCTCTAGCCCACGGTGCTGGGCCGGCTCCACTCAGTAGCCTCCACTTCTGACACCCCACCACTAAGATGCATTCCAACCTTCCCTGCCTGGCTTCTGTGTAGTCAGGAGGGCACCCAGAATATTTGCACCCACTACTGGGGCTGCTGCAGCCGGGCTTCTGCTCTGGCAAGTGTGCAAGGTGTTTGACCGCCAGCAGGGTCACCTTCTGAGGGTAGCTTTGTGGCCTACTGAAGAGCCTCCTGACAGTCTCCGCCTCCCCTCACTCTGCCCACATCAAGCAGCTGGCTATAAAGAAGGGGAACTTGCTATTTAGAAGAGAATCAGAGAGAGCTGTCAGCAGGACATAAATATTCATAGAGGGAGGTTAGAACTCGAGTCCCTAAAACCTTGATTTGTGTTCGTCCGTTTAAGCCTCATTAAAAAGTGGTAAATGAAAGTGGGGATATTCAGTGGAACTGCAGATAAATTGGCCTTGTTCAGATAAAGGCCTCCCACTGCCAGCTCCACAAGTCCTGCCCAGAGCACGACGCAGACCAGCTCGGCCACTTGTGGTTTGCCAACCTCAATTTAAAGATTTTGCTTAGCATGAGTTCCTGGCCTTGCTCTGGGCCAATTACCACTTGTTTGGGCCCTGGTAGCTGTCCAGAAGTCTTTAGGGAGGAAAATTCCCAGCCTGCTCCCTCCCCAGAATGGACGTGAAAACCTGAACTAGCCTAAGGGGTAGCAGGGAGAGATCTTAGCTGGGACCCAGACTTGTGCTGGGCCCTCCAGTGTTTATGATCTCTGTGTTGCTTCTCCTAGCTCTCTGCAGCCTCTGGGGGAAAAAGGGCCCAGAGTCAGATGTAGGCAAGGGTCTCTAGCCCTGTCCATCTGTGCCCATCCCTGTTCAGGGCCAGGCTCTGTGGTCACAGAGGAGGCAGATGGCCACCGTGCCTACTAGGACAGGAGTTGCAAGTAGGCCGCCGTCCGGTCCGGGCAGTCACGTACATAGTGGATAGATAGGCCCATTGTTGGCTAGGCCTGGTGCCTGGGCTGCAGGTTTCCATTGTCTGCCCTGTGGGCTCCCAGAGTTTGGGAAGATGCGGTCTGGATACTCGTAGCTGCGGTGACAAAGTATGTGTTTGGCTCACAAGGAAGACTGGTTCACTTGCCAGGGGAAGGAGACAGTGCCCCTCCAGCCAAAGGCAACAGAGAACCTCACATTAAGAACCTCAGGAATATTTCTGCTTTGGAACCCAGTGTGGAATCTCGTGCCCTGGTTACAGTTTCTATCTCATGGAAAGCAAATAGCAAGTCTTGGGGGGTACGGAGGGCCGTGTATATAGGGGGTGCTGTTGTGAAGGCAGGTGCCTTCTCAGGGCTGCAAGTGGCCTGAAGCACCTGTTGCAGCTCCACTGCCCTTTACATCAGGCCGTTGCTGCTGGGAAGCCTCGGGTCTCTGGTGCCCGTTCCCTCCAGTGCAGGCCTAGCCAGGATGCTGCCAGTGGCTCTTTCCCAGGACAGCCCTCCCTTCGGTGCCCATTAGCAGAGAAGTGACACAATTAAGCAGGCAATTAACTCCAGGCTCTGCAGTTGCTCCCTCCCACGGGCCCTGCTTCCAGAACTGGAGTGAGCCGCAGACCCCCGGGAGAGAGGGTGGCTGGTGTGCCACTGGACTGGGTGCTGGGACAAGGGAAGGTAGCTGGCCTGCAAGCTGCTGGCAAAGAAGGCCCAGAGGTTCCAAGTGCAGCTCTCCTGACACCAGCCCCGGAACACTGTCTGGCTCCATGATTCTGCCTGGAGCTGCCAATTTCTCTCTGCAGGAGTCATTTCAGAATGGATTGGAGCAAAGAACTGGCTATGACCCTTAAGGAGAGACATGCTCCTTCTGACGCCTCAGAAAAGTCATCCCAAAGTGTCGGGGGAGGGTACGGGGGGGCGGTCTCCCATTTGTGAAGTAGAGGTCGATTTGCTGGCCCCAGTGCTGTGGTGAGAATGAGTAAAGTCAAGGATGGAAAATCAACATTACAGAGCTCCAAGGCACTCTTCAGTCAGCTGCTGTCAGGGACGGGCCCTCTGAGCCTCTCCTCCCCCCATGAAGCATAGTCTCCCACGCTGGGCAGAGGTGCCCAGAGCAAGCAGGACCAGAAAGGTGGTCAGTTAAAGAGGCTGACGGGGAGAGGGACACAGACGAACTTTCAAAGGCAAATGCATGTCACCCAGACCCAGGCCTGGACAGTCCAATTCCATTACTTGACATTTCCCCACAATACAAATTATTTCCCTAAGATCACATCTTTGATTTTTGTCATAATCAAAACAAATGGAAGAATTGACACCCTGCTTGCTAACCTTTGCTCTTTTAACCACAAGTATGACTATCTTTATGAGCACTTTTCGCATGAGAATTAAGGTACAAACAACATTTTTGAGCTGTGTTTTACTCTCTAGTTTTTACTGATTCTTATGAGGAAATATATATACTGTTACAGCTTAGACTACTTTAAGATGAATATGTCAATGAGGAAAATACCCCTCTGCTTCTCGGCCCTGGATGTCTAACTGCCCATCCCTCCAGGGTGTGCGGGGCTCTGGAAAGTCAGAGCTTCCCTGCAGCATCTCCTTTCATTCTACTTTTTTTTAAAAAAAGATTTTATTAGCCCTCCCTGGTGGCACAATGGGTTAATGCCTAGCAGTGCAAGCTGGCCATAGCTGTTTCAGTGCGAGTTCGAACCCCAGCCCTGGAGGTGACCCACATGGCCCAGCAGACCTCTCCTGATCAACCCGCTGCTCCCTTGAGCAGTGTACTTCATTGATCTGCCTGTTCTGCTCCCCACTCTGTCTCTGGTGGATCCTCGCACCTCTGGTCTGTACCCCAGTTCTGTATGTATAAATCTTTTTTAAATGTTAAATAAATATTTGTGCATACAAGAGCTGGGGTGTAGGCTAGAGGGATGGGAGGGCAGGGGAGGAGAGAAGATTCACCAGAGACATAGTAAGGAGCAGAACAGGCAGATCCACTGAAATACACTGCTGAGGGGAGCAGCGGGCGGGTCAGGAGAGGTCTGCCGTGCCATGTGGGTCAGCTCCAGGGCCAAGGATCCAACCCCTGCTGCAGTGGCTGCAGATAACTTCATAGTGCAGAGACTTAGCCCCTTGTGCCACCAGGGAGGCCCTAGCCAAAACTAATTTTAACCTAGTGATTCCACTTTAGGTAGCTTGATAGTGCCAAGACTTCAATACCTGCACCAAGACTTCAATACATGCACCCGATTTTATTGTAGGACCTGCTGCCTGTGCTGTGACCAGAGCTCTGGTGCTCCATTGTGGGCCAGTGGGTCTTGCGCTGGGGAGACAAAGCTGAGGTGCAGCTGTAACACCCACAGCGATTTTCAGTGGGGCACGGAGATCTCGGGGTGGGGACTGTCCAAGACTCCTAGCAGCTGCCTCCATCCCACCCCAGGGTCCCAACTGTTGGAGAGTTAAAAGGCCCCACTGCCCACCTCTGTCTGAGGGGTATGTTATGTTTCAGATCGATGGGTTGGAGAAGAAGCTGTCACAGTGTCGCAGAGACCTGGAGATTGTGAACTGCAGGCTCTTTGAAGAATTGCTGAGCCCAGAAGCCAGGTGATGCCCCCACCCCCAGTATCCTAGGGTGCTGAGCTTCCATGTCCTTTGCCCCTGTCCTGGGGTGCCAGCTGCCTCTCAGATGCAAATAAAAAGGGCTCAGCCATAAAACATTCTCCCTTCACAGGAGGTCTCTGGAGAGGGAGAAAAACAGCCTGATGAGCAAAGTCTCCAACTATGGTAAGAAAGCCCCCTTCTGTTACTGTTGCCACACACTGGTGCCCAAGATCAGGAGGGGGTGGACCTCCCAGGGACCCAAGGTAATAGGGAGCAAGGGAGCATCTTCAGCAGCCAGACCCCAGGAGGCTGCACAACCCACTGTAGGCTCACCATCCAGGAGAGCAGGTTTGTTCCAAGTGTAAAAAGAAAGGCCTGTGGGTCTGTTTTTCCCTTGATATGGATGTCACCAGGTCCAGATAAGACTCATATTCACTCAGACTCGGGAGGGCTCTTTGCCCCCATCCCCAGAAAACCCAGCCATGGTTGTAAAAGGCCATCAGGGCTGAGTGAAAGGCTTGAAGGGCTAGTACGTACGGGTGGAGCAATGCTGCCACCTTCTGGGCTCTGGGGGCAGAGCCAGGTGGAGCCCAGGCAGAGCAGAGCTAGAGGACAGAGGCCAGAGGCCTGCCAACCCAGCACCTTCCCTGGGCCCAGGTACCGATAGGCCTGGGAAGAAAAACAGTCTATAAGAAAAACAGGCACCTACCTCCCTCCCACGAGTCCAGCATCAGCACTCACTTTAGCCCCCAGAGTACATGTCATGCAGACAGATACTGTGTGGCTGTAGAACAGCAGGACTGACTTCAAGCACACTGCCGCTCAGCGCCCTCGTTCCTGCTTACACCCAGCTCCCAGCAGAAGGCTGGGCTGGAGGCCTGTGTGGCGTGGCCCACCCCATCTACTCCCGTGTCAAACCCACGGAGGTCTCAGCGCTGGCCACCAGCGGGATGTGCACCACGGATCCTTTGTAGGAACAGGCCAGGGGGTGTTAAGATCTGCCCCCGTTGAAGTATGGTTGAGCAGCACTGTGTTGAGGTTTTGGGGGAGGGGGGACTGGGACCTGTAGCCAAAAGGTTGTGAGGATCTGCACAGACCAAGGAGAGTCCTTTTTAGGGATAAGGAATTGGCTGGGACACCTCTGCCCTCTGCAGTGCCCACTGTGAGAGAGGCAGATGAGAGAAGCAGGTGGGCTTGGGTGGGGACTAAGGAGGCGAAACTACTTGTTCCACCCCTGCTACCGTTTCCTTTCAGAGAAGGAGCTAAAGTTGCTTCGGCGGGAGAACAGGAAGAACATGCTGCTCTCTGTGGCCATCTTCATCCTCCTGACCCTCATCTACGCCTACTGGGTGGTGTGAGCCACCATCTCTTCACAGCCAGCACAGGCTCCCCCCTCCGCTCCCTAGTCAGGGTCAAGCAGGTCTGTGAAGATTCAGGGCCAGTGCAAGCGCTGTTCCTCCATCCAGACTCCGAGCACAGCTTCCTGTCAGCACAGCCCGCTTGCCCCCGTCCTGCTCTGGGGCCTGGTCTCCAGGACGCTGTGCTGGCTCCTCCCTCAGCCTAAGAGAACGGCAATAAAGAACACCAGGCTGCTCCTGTCTGCTGTGTAAATGTCACGGTCTGACTGTAGCTGAGGGCTGCACTCATCTTTCTTGAAAGATGAGATGTTCAAGGGAAATCTCATGGCTTAGAACGCAGAGGGGAGAAAGGAGGGGCTGTGAGGGGAAGTCCCCACCTTGGGTGGAGACTAAGGAGGCCACAGGATGTACTTTCCAAGCCAGTCAGGCCCCGGTGGCAGCTTCACCAGGGCACCATCTGTCCCCACCCTCTTACCTTCCAGCCAGTGCCACCGCCTGGAATTACAGCAGGAAAAATGCTGCCTGCGCTGCCCAGGGTGACTCGGGACTTGAGGTGGGCCTGGGGAGGTGCACAGCCGTGCACAGTTAATCCATCTCTGAGGCAGGCAGGCAGGGCTAGTAAGACCTCGCGGAGTGAGTGGGCTGCAAGAACCATGGTAATGACCACACAGACTTAATGGTGACAGTGGCCAGTAAATCAGGCGGGGTTTTGCAGTGAGTAGGGTGGGGCCGACCAGGGGGAGCAGGAGCAGCTACAGACATCACTGCTGCCCTCAGCACACCCTTAACTCTCCAGCCCCAGCAGGGCGGGGCGGGGGGGGGGGGCAGTGCGGACAACCAAAACAATGACGCTGCTTCGACTTGGGCACTAGGATGACACCAATCACAAAGGAAGCGTCGCCCTGGGAGCTGTGCTCTGCGGCATCAAGGGCGGTCTCTGGGGGCCAAGCAAAGTGGGTGGGGGGCATGCGTGAGTGAAGGAAGCGGTGGGGAAATTCTGGAGCAGGGAGGGAGGCCGTTATTACTGCACAGCCCCCCAGGCGCAGAGCAGAGGCCGGCTGGGTCAGCAGAACCCGCGCTCCCTCCCTCCCTCCCGTACAGCCTAGTGACACTAATTGGTCTGACGCCTCTGTTATTTCAGTCCCACAGACTGATCCTGGATTGTCACAGTGCCACGATGGAGTGAGTTGTGTGATTTATATAAGGGGGAAGGTGCCTCCTTGCCCTGCTGGGCTGTAGGTTCATTCATTCTCTAGTCTCTGCTTCTAACAGGAGCCACATGATTTCCTGAGTCTTCTTTTCTTGGTCTCCAGCAGCAAGAAACAGTCATTGGGGCCTGCCAAGCCCAGAAGCTTAGACAGGCTCTGATCAAACAAACCTTTCCTCCCCTCTTCTCAGAGTAGAACTTGCTCTACACCTCTCCAGCACAGGGCAGCCTGTTTCATCCAGGCTAGTGCCAGACCACGGAGCACTGAGGACACACAGTAGCAGCCCCAACACAGCCACACAGGCATTAAAAATATGTTTATCTTTAATGATCCAAGATTCTGCAAGACACGGATATACCCAGAATTGGGTGGAAATACAGCATCTCAGCGGTGCTGCTGCCAGCCTGGCTGGGGGGGAGGGTGGATGCTGGCTGGAGACCTCACAGCGAAGTCAATTCCAACCTCACTGGGAGCCTCAGTGCCCTATCTCCATGGAAACCAGTCTAGCACTGGGATGGGGCCCTAGGGAGCCCGTATGAACATCTCTGAGAGCTATTTCCTATTAAAACAACCACAGGTGCCCTCCCCCACCCAAAGCTACTGCCCAGTTTCCCATCTTCCCCTCCACCTCCGCCAAGATCGAAGAAATGGGAGTGACCATACAAGGACAAACAAAAGTGACTGTACCTCCAATTGGGGAATAAAGAGGTTGGGGGGTAAAGGGTTGCAAGGTGGTGTGGCAAACAGGGGTGCTATGATTGCCAGGAGGTGGGTGAGACCCAACCCCAGAGGTACCCTCTGTTCTATTCAGACTCCAGCTGCTGGCACCCAGAAAAAGGCAGCTCCTCGAGGCTGCTCCTTCCCCTTCCAGGGCTGCCCAAGGTTTGGATCTAAAGGGGCCAGGTATGGGAAGGGTCTACAACCCCCAGAACGGCAGTCACATTCGCTGGCGAAGACAGCGCAACCCGCATCCTCACGGTTATCAGGATGTGTGGCCTTCACACCTCCCCTCCCGGCCGGCGGGACTGTCAGAGGTCCGGGCTGGGAAGAACTGCAGGGCAGACCAGGACAGGTTGAGGAGACAAAATCTTCAAGTTGGCATCAAAACAGCAAGTTCAAAGAAATAAAACCTTGATTTGTACAGCAGCTGCTCCTGAGCAGCTCACAACGTGGGCCGCTACCCACTCAGGGTTGGCCCAATAAAAAGTTGGGCAAAGCGGAGGCATGGCCACCCTCAGGACAGAGCACAGAACTCAGACAAGGGAGCCTACAGGTATGGGAGAGAACGGCGGGACGCTGAAGCCCTGTTGCTCTGACTCTCCTCCACTGGCCCCTAGACCCTGGACTCAAGACTGCCTCGGGAACAGCATCCTTCAGGCCAAATCCTGGCAGAGCAGATGGTTCCCAGGCAGGTCTCCAGGAGAAAGTCCAAAAGGTGTCCCAGAAGGAACGCGTGAGCATCACTGAGGGCCCCCAACTGAGGTTTTCAGGGAGAGGAGACGCCCACCCATCACGGGCAGGCCGCAGTGACCATGCTCCCAAGTCCCTTTCCAGAAGGGAAGGAACCAGTACTGGAGGCCCAAGCGTGATGCCCTGACTCCAAAAGACAGGGCATTCAGCAGGGGTGGGCGTCCCCTCAGGCGCTGTGTGTCTGGATGAAAGAGAGGACAACTTCCTTGGACAGCTTGTCTGGATCCTGGGGTTTCTGAGAGTCGTGCACACGGATGCCATCCCCCCACTCCCAGAAGAGCCGGCCATAGTAGCAGATGCTGGAAGGAGAAAGGTAGTCAGAGCACTGCACCCGAGGGGAGCAGGACAAGAAACCACCCTCCGCCCTGGCTGCAGTGACTTAGGGTGTGTTCTTATCAATGACTTGTTATGGGTCTTCCCTCTGGCAACAAAAGGGTACCAATAGGCCCCAGCTCTCTGCCTCCCCCAACAGCTGCTGCTGCTAATTGCATCCAACTGGATTTCTGCAATCACTGACACTCCTGGTTTTTCTGTGTGAACTGCTCTAACAGAACAGTATTGGTGTGGTGACAGAAACCAATGTCAATGACTAATTATAGGCACGTTCGGGCTGCTGGCTGCTGTCAAAACCTATGACCACCATCTGGCAAGTGGACACTGGGTCCTGATGAGGGACAGTTGGGACTCTAAATCCAGCGGACCAGGACTGTCCACATGTTCCCACCACCAGGCAGCATCAGAATGTCGCGTAAGCAGCGGCTGCTCCATGGGGCAGATAGCCAGCTTGGATGGGGCCTCTGCACCCAGCAGACCCAATCACTGCAGTCCTGGCACCACTTTCCTCTCACCTGCTTACCTCCCAGGCCCAGTCATACCTTGAGGGGGGTGCGGAGGGTATTCCCAGTAGGAATAGAGCCCAGCCCATGCTTAGGACATCCCTGGTGTGGGCAGAGGTCTCGAGACCAGGGTATGCCTACGAGGGCTGGCTGGCATCATGGAGTAGCTGGGACTGCTGGGAGGCAGGCCTGGCGGGTGATGGCTACTTACTGAAATGGGGCAATGGAGTCTGCAGGGAGATCAAAGGTAGAGATCTTGGTTTTCTTATTGTAGAAGAACTTCCTCTTGGAGCGTTTGCTGAATACCATAGTCCATGGCTCTGATAGGAGAGGGGAAGAAGTCCAGAAAGGACACAAAATACCAGGTCAGGGCAGTGTAGGGGCGTGCCTTTCTCCACTGGCGTTCTTTCACTCTCCGCTCTCCCACAAAAAGCGGACACAGAACAGCCTGTAGTAAACAGCCTTTATCCCCAGCCCAAAAGGGCGCCAGAAGGACAAATGAGATCATTATTTCTAAACAACCCACTCCAGTTCAGAACACTTCTGGGACCCTGGCAGAGGGCGCAGGACTCTGTTAGCTAACAGACATTAAAGAAAAGGGATTCTTTGGGGGACGCAAATGGACAGAAGCCAAGTCGACTTTCTAGTTCTGCTGCTGTTCCCCGAAGCCTTCTCCCTGCCATGGGGACAGACACCTGCATATATAGGGTACACCTCAGAGAAATGTCAGCCTGCTGCTGCCCACCTACTTTAGCAGGGAGGCCCTAGCGCTGACTCTGGTCAGCTGCCCTGGCTGTGGGCAAGGGAGAAGCAACACTCACACAACCACTCACCATTCACAGTCCTGACGATGTAGAGGCCAGTGGGCACAAAGTGCCGGTCGTCCCGCCCTGTGTAGCTGAGCTTCGGCGTGCCGCTGGAGCCCTTGATGAGCTTCATTTCCAACCTGGTTTCCCCGGAGATGTACAAACAGGAACACGTAAGTATGTGATGAGAAAGAAAGTTACTCTGGCTAAAATCAAAATCACACCAACCACAGTATCTTATCTTGATTCAACATAAGAAAACCAAGGCAGAGACCTAGGCGAGTGTTCCAGGCCGCACTGCAGGAGCTTAGTGCAGTGCTAGGCTCAGAACTCAGGCACTGAACTCCCAACCAAGCAGCAGAAGCAGGGAGTGAGAGCTGCCTGGCCTATGTTGCTGGTGTTGGGGAGCTGGGGATAGGGAGTGGGTTCAGGGTAGTAATGGTAAAGTCTGGTACCTCAATGCCACTGGGCCTTCAGTCTACCACCCATGGCATTATTGTGGCCACTGAAGAGTTAACAAGTTAACAGAGACCCAGCCCGGTTCCGTGGCCACAGTGGGTGCACACTCCAGGTGAGACCCACATGCAGTCAAGAACACAATGAAGTGGCTACACCCCCTCCACCCTCCAGGCTCAATCTCTCTGTCAGCACCAGGAGCTGGGATTTATGGTGTTTCAAGCAGCTTGCTGCTCTGCCCCTCGCAGGGACAATCGTTAACTATTACAGCATCAATGAGCCCGTATTTCTGCCTGACACTACCGCCCTGCTCCCCTCCTGACAGGGTGCTGAATCAGCTCTCAGCCAGGGGCTCCTGGCGGCAGCAGAGGCAAGGTGGGATAAAAGCAGCCAACTTGAGCTGATCTACCACCCCACCACCTCAAAATAATAATTTTAAAAAAGGAACAAACCCTGGACACTGCACACCCACTACCCACCTCTTCTTAAATCCTGAGCTACCCTGGTTGAGTCACACTCACCTGACAAAAATCTTCTCCATCTCCTCCAGCCTGTATACCTCCTTCACCCTATGGAGCAGAGAAGTAGGTAGAGGACAGGGCTTCCTGGGGGGCATTCTTGCCAGGGCAGCAACTGGGCAGGAGGAGGCTGTGCCCATCCTCACCCCCTCTACCTCAGGCCTCTGCACCACCCAGCCCACCGAGAAGACCCCCAATCTGTCCTACAGAGAAATGCTGGGTTTCACATCTGCCAAGGGCCCCCTGGCCCTGCCCCAGGGCAACTGCAGAGTACTACTGTGGTTATGGAAGATGGGAAGGGGAGAGACTAGGAAGATGTGGCAGATAGGATGTCTCTGCCAGCACTCCCTAGGTCTTCTCATCAAGGCCAGAACACCAAGGGCCCAACTCTTGCCCATGTCTAGTCCTGATAACTATTACCATGGGAACAGCGGGACTCCTGTCCAGGATGCAGGGCTTATGTCTGATGGCCAGTCTTCCACTTAAGACTTTGAGGAGACCTTGAGCATGCCCTTGGAACTGCTTTGGAACAGGTAAGGTCCCTGCAGATCCTGCAACCTGATCCTAGGCAACAGAGGCAGCATCCCTGGAAGTTGCCCCTCAAGACCTGACAGGATATTTTAAGTCCAGCTCTCAGAAAACATCTGTAATGTGTATTCTCACTACTGGACTTAATTTTGAGTAGATTTACATTAAAAATAATAAAAATCATTTTGATAAAGTACAGACACCTCAGTATCTAGTCAAACAAAACCTAAAAGGCAATAATGTCAGATCACAGGGCACCCCGTAAATCTGTTCTCCATCTGTCTGCCCTGACTCTGCTCTCACCCAGTTCTCTTCCCTCGAGGACCTAGAATCTTCACAGTAACTAACAGGGCAACAAACCCTGGCCTTCTTCCTACTCCCTCAAAACATCCTTCTCTTTTTCATGTTCAAAACTCCCATTCCCGGATCAAAAACGGGGTGGGGGAGGGAAATGCACGGGATTATGGTGATGGCACATGGGTGACTTGGTGATGGGAAACCCGCGGGGATTACAATTGAGATGGAAAAAAAAATGTACAAAATGATGTAAAAATAAAGTTTTGTAATTAAAAAAAAACAAACAAAAACCTCCCATTCTCTGGGGAAGGGAAACAGATAGGATATGGGCACAGGTGGGTTTGGTGGAGGGAAAAAAAAAAAACACAAAAAACTCCCATTTCTGCAGTACTTTTTTCTTACCTGAAGAAACCCCCCCACACACACACCCCCACAAAGACCAGGTGATATGCTAATGATACTTGAGTGTGAATTCATGATTCACAAGGTGTGTTAGCACTCTCAGAAGCAAGTACATCTTAAACGAGGACGCCTTAACCCCTAAGAATGAATCTCCCGTGGAAGTTCACCCCAGTGACAAGTGGGTTGGAGAGCAACCCAGCAACCTAGCAACCTAGCACCCCCAAACAAATTACTCATCAAGGGCAGTCTTATCTCTAATACCAAACTTGCCTGGATGTTCCTCCATCCCTTCCATCCCCACAGGACAGGGAAGCAGGCATTGGCCAGAGACCTAATGGGAAAGGGGGATTCAAGAGAAAGAGACCACGTGCTCACCTGATGGGGTTCATGTCAGGACGACTGGGTTTCGAGAGCGCTTTCACAAATTTCTCAGCAAGCTGAATCCTGTAATGCAGAGAGTCTCTCAGTCTCTCAGAAGCTAGCAAGGGTGACTCCACCAGCACCCCATCGCCAAGACATTTGCATTGTAAGAGAACACACCTGAGCCTGCAACAAGACTGCCCCAAGAACAGCACTCCTGTTCTCCAGAAAGCCCACCCTGCCCTTCTCCACAGACATCTTCATGATGCCTCCCCCTCGCTCTGGACCCTGACCTCCAGTTTCACTACAGGTGGTTATTTTCCTGAAGTGTGCCATGAGCTGTGCTCAGTCACCTCTGCTAGAATTTCAAGTATCACCTTATTGTATCTGCCCCAACTGTGGTAACCAGTTAGCACAGTGCACCTCTTCAGATGAGATCACTTAGGACTGCTGGCAGAACCAGAGTAGCATGAGGTATGTACCCTCCCCCCGCCCCCTCAGCAACTGATTAGGCCCCCATTCACAAAGGTGTCTCTGTGGAAGCTGTGAGTTCCAAAGAGCTAAAATGGGACTGCACATGACATGTTCTTCAGAGGAGAAGGCATCTCCATTTCCCCAGAAAGTCATCTCTTGCTCCACCTTAAGCAACGCACATCTGATCTGAACAACTGTGGCAAAATGGAACATGCATGTACCTGTGACAATCAAAGCCCAAGCCCTAGCAAACTCTGAAATGCCAACACCAATTTCTAACCCTGCCCTTAGGACCAGCCAGTGGATGGGAAAAGGAAACTAAGGGTGTCCTTATGCAGAAAAGTACTAGGTTAAGGGGTTAAGGGGCGAAGCCTTGGAGGATGATGCCATAGAGCTACCCTGCTTGCATCCCCCAACCCCCACAAGGGCCCAGGTCAGACCGCTGGTTAAAGTGCTGCTCCCGCACGTCGCTGCCATTCAGCACAAGGACATCCAGGATGTGGATTGCACTAATCTTCCGCTGGGCCTTCCCCTAGAAGGACAAGCACACTGCTCACCATGCCAGGCATCTGCCTCAGGCCTTCTCTGCCCACTGTGGCATGCCAGCCTCCAGCCTCCCTACAGCCAGGGGAAGGGAAGGGCTCTAAATACAGGGCATTTCTCTTGCCTCCTTCCCAGCTGATTCTCAGCACCAGACAGGTTGGGCCCAAGCTTCTGTGAAGGTAGAGATCTGAGCTTTGGGGTAATTATCCCTCTTGAACCCCAAGCCCAACGAGGCTGCTGCCTTGGTGCTCCAGCCAGGGTCTGGCTTCACACTCTTTGCTAACTGTTCCACTGGCTGTCTAAATATCATCTGTATGGCTGTGATACCCAAAGCTCATGGGAAATAACAAGATGCTTCTTTCCTAGGGGATCCCTGGTCTAAAGCTAAATCAGCAACTAAAAAATACCCAGCAGGGTGCTCAATGCACACAGATGACGAGATCTCTTCCTCCACTCCTGGAGTCTGTGATCCTCCCACCTCAATAAACGTGACTTGGAACAATTCCTCAGGGAAAAGGAATAATGCAATGCCTTTCCTGATCTTGGACTCTACCAAGCAATGCATGCACTGTAACCCAGCTAACTTGGGGGAAAGACCAGGTCCAGCAGTATCCCGGCCCCCTAGCTAGGAGGGCCACAATGTATAAGCGGAACCACCTCTGACCTCTCCTTTCAGCTCATGCACGATCTCCACTGAGAGCAGGGTGTCCCGGGGTAACTCTGTCTTCAGATCCAGCTTGACCCAGCGGTCTGACTGGCGGCCATCCCATGTGTAGATCTGGGACTTCTGTGGGCAGAGAGAAAGGGTCAAGTCAGGCAAACATGTATGGGGGGAGGAGAGGCTCACTTCTCAAAAATGCTTTTAGTTGCTGGCTACCAGCTGATGGAGCTGAGAAATATCAGAAGAAAGTGTGTAGGAGAGATCAGTCTGCTGTACTTTCAATGAATGACACAGTTGTCTTCAGTGCCTATCTGAAGAGCAGCAGAGAAGTGGCTTGGGTCCATGATCAGTAACCCTCAAGAAAGACCCAGCTTGATATATGGCTAAAGGTGGGTTGGTGAAGGGTCTAGAAAGCAAGGAAGGAGAAAGTAAAAAGAGAAAAAAATAAAAAAAAAAAAAGTGTGACAGGGCACAAAGAGAGAAAAAAGGAATACAATTAAATGAAAGACAAATCAGGGTAAAAAAAAAAAAAAAAAAGCAATGACTTCCCAATTAAGTACTAATGACAAACATCCCTCACCTCATCTTTTAGATTTCAGGGTAAGCACAGGTGATGTCTTTGCAAGACAGGGGATGACAAGAGGTGGTGGGGGTGCTGCAAAGAAACCTGAGTGTGGGTTCAAGCCAGATGAGCCTGCTGCCCATGCCCTAGCCCTGAGAGCTTCATATTGTAAGAGGCAGGATTCCACTGAGCAATGTACAGAGATGAGTAAGCAAATATATGAATAAAAGTGAAAAGAAGGTGGAGGTGGGACGAACAGAAAGAGACTTAGCTAATTCAGAGAAAAAAGGAAATGAAGTTTCAAAAAATACCTTTCCTGGGGTCAAAGTCCTAGCTCCTAGTGATGCAGGCAGTGTCCAGATCCCCACAGAGAACAAGGTCCCTCCATCCCAGCTGTGGAGGAAGTGAGTTGCAGACTTACCCCCAGGCCAATGAGGAATTTCTGCTCGCTGCCAGACACCATGCAACGATAGTCGAGCACTGGGCGGATCTTCTCCAGGGTTTTGGAAGTGAGCAGTGTGGGCTTATAGCTGAAGATGTCGATCTCAGTGCCCTGCAGCCCCAGGTCAGAGAAAACAAGGCTGGGTTGGGGGAAGGGACAGGCACTCAGTAGGGGTGCCTGTATGGGGGCGAGGGCAAGGGACAGCAAGCAAGGGACTTGCTCTCTCAAACACCTTCCCCCCAATTCCCTCCACCCTCCTATCGAAGCATGCACTAAATGAGAGCTATTTCCATCTGCTTGCAGTGTTCCTTTAGGACCTATAAGGAGAGGCTGGCAGACACAAGAACACCAAGTACCCGAGTACAGATTGATTTACCAGTTATAAGGAAATGCCACCAGAATATAAAAGCCACTCCCTTCAATAAAACTGAAGGCAAGGACTCACTAGTAGTTGGTTTGAAAACAGTCAACTGATCTCTCCCCTACTCAGAAAAATGTACATATGCTATTCTTTGGAGGTCACTGTCAAACCCTGCCCCCAAAAACCATGATCTGTACCAGTTTAAACAAAGCCTATTGAAAAGTTACACATCAGATGGCAGAAAATAAAAAGGGAAAGAATCCAAGGGAACTGAGTGCCAGGCCAGTCCACAAGAGGGCTCCCCTGGCAGCCCCTTGGCCCTCTGCTAGATCACCCCACACTTCATGTCTCCCCTGTGGCAGAAGTCTTGGGCACTGCCCTGGCCAGCATGTGATAGCCAGCACACCCTTTGCATGGCAGAAATGATGCACACAGCATATCTCAAGCTCAGAATCTCCGCACAGCCCGATGGGCTCTCGGGGAACTCACCACCCTATGCCAAAGTTTCCTGCCTGAGGCAGCCTGAGTGTAGGTGGTGCTTCAACAAGCCCTCTGGAAGCCAGGCATCTGGTGGGCTTAGTGACACCTTCCACATCTAGTTAGACCTCTCTAGCTTTTTAAGTCCACCAATCTCAGACTTACCTGGATTAGCTCAAAGAACTTAGATTTCGGGTCTGAGGAAGAAGGAGCAACTCGAGCCTGGTCTGGGATCTGAAATGACAACAAAGAACTTTGAATTTTCAAATGTCCTTTTGATCAAGGCTTTTGTTGTTTTTGTTAAAGGTTTCTTTATTTATGAATACAAGAATGGGGTATAGGCTATTTATGATTACAAGAATGGGGTGTAGGCTATTTATGATTACAAGAATGGGGTGTAGGCCAGAGGTGCGGTGGGTGAGAGGATTCACCAGAGACAGAGTGGGGAACAGAACAGGCTGAGCCCCTGAAATACATTGCTAAGGGGAGCAGTAGGTTAAGTAGGAGACGTCTGCTGCGCCATATGGGTCAGCTCCCTCACTGGGGATCAAACTCATGCCACAGTGGCTAGGGATAGCTTGACAGTGCTGAGACTTAACCCTGTGCAGGTTAGGGGATAGGCTAAGATTGAAAAGGAAGAAATAGTATATAACGGAAGTTGGAAGAAAAGAGATGAAGGTAAATAGTCACTGCCCTGAATGATGAGTTTACACATCTCAAAAGGCCCCCTTTTTTGGGGGCCTCTATGGTCAGTGTTGATACACATGGGTACCACCTACAATATAAGGCCTATTTACCTATACCCGTCCTTTCTGACCCAGCTGTAGGTTCAGACTAACAAAGAAAGGGCCAAGGCAATCACCCTTGAGGCTGAGATACCCAGCTCTACAATGCTGTGAGAATAGGCAGACTTTTTTTTTTTTTTTTAAATCAGATAGGGGGAGACCTTAACATGACAGGGTTAGGAGTCCATCCCATTCTTCACTATAGCCTTGCCATCCTAGAACAACAATTAGCTGGGGAGATGCTCACCCCCCAGAGTCGAAGGCACTCTTTCCGGATCTCTGCCTGCCGAGGTTCACTCAGGGTCCTGAGGAAATAAAACCATCACTTAAAACTTCCCAGAGGCACAGAGTCTATTTTCTATGTGTCCCTCAGAACCCCACAAAGAGGAAGCCTGAATCACTGAACATGAGTGCATTCAGAGTCACACTACCATTAGCCCAAGGTACCCGCAACATGACATGGTTCTGTCTCTTGAAGGTGGGGGCTCTGACGGACACAAAATAGGATGACTTCCCCTTCATATAACAAAAGGAAGGAAGAGATTACCCTCCTGAACTCTTCCAATTACCCACTGACACATTCTGACTTTTCCTCTGCTAACAAAGGCCATACTACATCCCTCCTGTTAGATGTCACTATACCCAGAAAACTGAATTAGCTTACACTCACCCGTCCCCACCACCAGAGACTTTCTTTAAACAGTCCACTTTTCCTCTCTTAATCACTACCCTGTGTCCCTGGGTCATTATGGACCCTATTCAAACTATGCTACTCTAAACCCCAATGTGCTGTGAGTAACTTTTTCTGTATCCTTGTCCTAGTTACTCTTACCTGCCTAAAGACAGCATAAAGTCTTTGAGCGTCAGGTTTAGGCCATATGCTTCAGCAGAGCATGAGATAAAAGAGTAGGTACTTTTAAATGTTTGTTGAAATGAAATGAACAAAGAGCTTAGGGGAAGGAGCAAAACAAAAAGTCTTCCCTTGAAATAGTGAATTCTGGAAAGTGAGCAACACTCACGTGTCTTGAACAAAGGCATGAATTTTGGCCAAAGCTTTGATCTGCAGACTACAGTGGCTAGAAGGGGGGGAAAAAAGATTTAATCTCAAAATTTTTATCAAAATGACATTCAAAAGACATCAAAACAAAGTTTAGCTGGAAAAGTAGCAATCTATGTTTGGGGAAAGAGTTGAACAGTTGAGGAGAAACTCCAACCACACTTAAGTACAATTTACATGAAGTATATTGAAGGCTGAGGGTAAACAGAAGAACTAAGTCAAACTCTCTAGCCAGATCCCAAGCCATACAATGAAAGGGTACAATCCCATCCTTAAAATTTTGAAAGCAGTGCTGAACTTATTCTAACAACAAGCCCAGGCTGTTCAACTAAACCAAACTGATTCAATCTAACTACATTAGCAGTCATAATTACTATCTAGTTCTTTTATACATAATGCCTGTCATTTAATTAGAAAAGTATGATACATGATAAAATAAGAATACTGGCAAGAGGAAAAACAGTCCAATAAAGTAAAACTTAACTTTGTACCAAAGATAACAATGCTGGAGTTATCAGACAGGACATTTAAAATAATTAAAAGACCTAATACAAAAGGTATACAACACACATAATCAAATAGAGAATATCATCAGAGAAAGAGTAACTATATTTCAAAAAGGCAAATAAAATTGTAGAAATGAAAAATTACTGATGGATGGAATCATCAGCAGACTGAGTCCAGTAAAGAATCAGTGAACTCTAAGACAGACAGATCAACAGAACCGGTACTGAAACATAAAAACGAATAAACAAATGACAGGGCATGTGACTTCTGTGACACAATCACAAACAGCTTAAAACAAAAATATAGTTGGAGTCCCAGAAGGAAAGGAAACAGTAAGGCAAAAATACTGACAAAATAATAGCCAGGAATCTTCCCAAAATGTTGAATAATAATAATCACACTTCCAAGGTCAGAGAAACCTAAATAGAATCAACACCAAAAAAACAAATATAAACACATCATGGTCAATATCCTGGAAACAAAAGTTAAAGAGAAAATCTTAAAAGCAGAAAAGAAAGATACTGACAACAAGAAAACAATGTTAAAAAGTAACTGCTGGTCCTCCCTGGTGGTGCAGCAGGTTAAAGCACAGCACAAAGAAGCTTAAACCACTTCCGCATGAGTTCTATTCCCGCCTGCCCCAAATGGTGAGGCAGACCTCTCCTGACCAGCCCGCTGCTCCCCTCAGCAGTGTACTTCGTCGATCTGCCTGTTCTGTACCCCACTCTGTCTCTGGTGAATCCTCTCACCCTCCGCATCTCTGGCCTGTACCCCAGTTCTGTTCAAATAAATAAATAAATCTAATTAAAAAAAAAAAGTAACTGCTGACTTATCAGCAACAATAGAACAATAAAACTTTAAAGTGCTGAAAGAAAAACAATGTCACCCTCATAGTCTATACCTAATATAAACATACTTCAAAAATGAAATGAAAAAAAAATGCATTTTCAAATAAAAACAACACAAACCTTGGTTGCTTGATTATCCAAGATAAAGAATAGTCTTTTCAACAAAGGTTGTTGTAAAAACTATATATCCATATAGAAAAGAATGAAGTTGGGCCATTACTTATATACTACTTATAAAAATTATCCCCAAACAGATCTAGGAACTAAAACTTTAAAACTTTTAAAGCTATAGAATTCTTAAAAGCAAGCACAGGAAAAAGCTTCATGACATTCAATTTAGCAATGATACCAAAGCATAGCAATACAAGAAAACATGAACCAGACCATCAAAGTTAAAAACTTTTGTGCATCAAATATGATCAGTCAAGTTAGAAAACAACTATAGAATGGAAGAAAATATTTTTAATTCATGTATCTAATAAGGGATTATTTATTCTGTATTAAAAAACCTCTAAAACTCAACAACAAACCCAAAAATAGGCAAAAGACTTACACTGACATTTCTCCAAAAAAGATCTGCAAATGACGAATAAAGCACATAAAAATATGCTCAACATCACTCATCAGTAGGAGCATGCAAACCAAAACTGTAAGTGGCTATTACAAAAAAATAATAATAATGGACAGTAACAGATGTGGATGAAGATGTGGGAAAAATGAAATCCTGGTGCACTGTTAACAGGAATGTAAAATGGTGCCTCTGCTATGCAAAACAGTATAGTAGTTCCTCAAAAAGTTAAGCAGAATTACTATAAAGTTCATCAATTCTACCTCTGATATATATCCAAAAGCCCTGAAGTCAGGGACTAAAACAGATACTTCCACACCAATGTTCACAGCTAAAATGTGGTACCCAAATGGCAACCAATAGACAAATGGATAACAAAATATAGTAGGTACATATAACAGAACATGTAATCTTAAAAAACAATGAAATTCTAATACATGCTACAACCATAATTTGTCCCTTCTACAATTTGAAAACATTATGCTAAGTGAAATAAATCAGACACACCAAAAAATATCTATTTTTATTATTCCACTTACATGAGTTAGCTAGAATAGGCAAATTTTACTCCACTCATCGAAAAAGAAAGTATAGTAATAGTCTACCAGGAGTTAGAGATGAGGGAATGAGGAATTATTATTTAATGGTTTTTAACAGTATTTTTCTTTTAGATGATTAAGAAAGTCTGGAAATGTACAGCAGCAGTGGTGGCACAATGTTAATCTACTCATTACCACTGAACTATATATTTTTTTGCATAATTTTTAAAATTTATTTTAATATAACAGTTTATTTTTACATCATTGTGTGCATTTTCCCATCTCATTGCAATCCCCTTGGGCTTCCCATCACCAAATCACCCATGTGCCATCACCATAGTCCAGTGCACTTTCCCCCCAACCCCCACTTTTGATCCCATTCCCTACTCCATCCCCATAAAATGTGGAGTGGGGAAGGGTATATAGTTCATTATTATTACTATTTTTTTCCCCTGGCCCTTTATGCTCCTGCTATGAATGAAACCATCGGTATTTTCTTTTTTCTTTCTGACTTATTTCACTAAGCATGATCCCTTCCTTCCAGCTGCATGTTGCTGCAAAAGGCATGTTTATCTTTTTTAATTGCTGAGTAATATTCCATTGTTTATATGTACATCTTTTTAATCCAGTCATCTACTTTTGGGCATACGGATTGCTTCCATGTCTTTCTTTTTTTTTTTTTAAAGATTTATTTATTTATTTTTACATACAGAACTGGGGTACAGGCCAGAGGCTCAGGGGTGCTGAGAGGCGTCACCAGAGACAGAGTGGGGAGCAGAACAGGCAGATGGACGAAGTACACTGCTGAGGGGAGCAGCGGGCGGGTCAGGAGAGGTCTGCCGCGTCATGTGGTCACCTCCGGGGCAGGCGGGAATCGAACTCATACTGAAGTGGCTTTAGTTTCTCAGTGCAGTGCTTTAACCCGCTGCGCCACCAGGGAGGGCCCACTTCCATGTCTTTCTTATTGTAAATAAAACAGCAATAAACATGGGGTGCAGGTGCCTTTTTGAATCAGTTGAACTATATATTTTAAAAGGGGTTAAAATGGTAAATTTTACATTATGTGTATTTACCACAATAATAAAAAAAAAGGACTCAACCTTTTTTTAACTTATGCATATCAAAAACATGGTATTAAAAAAATGAACAGGCAAATCACAGACTAAGAAAAATATTCATAAAATACATACTTGACACAAGACTTGTATTCAGCATTTATAAAATCCTACAACTTAATCAAGAAAAATTCATTTTTTTAAATGACTGAAAGACCTGAAGAAATACTTAACAAAAGTATACAATAGCCAATAAGCAAATGAAAAGGCTTCCAGCATCACTAATCATCACAAAAATGCACACTGAAGCCACAATAAAACACTATACCCAACTAGAATAGATAAAATGAAAGAGAAAAAAAAAAAAAAAACAGACAAAGCCAAATGCTGACAAAGATGTTGCTAGATGGAATAAATACTGGTACAACCACTTTAGAAAACTATGTGGCATGACAGAAAAGCTACACATACATCTACCTCTGGTAGAATTTTCACCATAGGGTATATATCCAAGCTAATGAAAACACTGTCCACCAAAGCCCTATACAAGAATGTTTGCAGCAGTTTTCTTCATACTAGCCCCAAACTGTACATCAACAGAAGAACAGATAAATTACCGTATAGCCACATAATGGGTATTTTAATTAAACAACAACAACAAAAAGGAACTAGCACAATAAAAATGAATCTCAAAACCATTATGGTGAAAGGCAATAAAGCTCAATACAAAAGTGTATTCTCATGACTCCACTGATAAAAAATGAGCAAAACTAACAGGTAATGATAACCATGAGAAGAGTAGTCACTTCAGGGTTGAATGGGTTGGGACACAAAGAAATTTCTGAGATGACAGAAATGTCTTTTTTAACCTTAACAGAGATGTAGGCTACTGGAACATATGCATTTGTCAATACTAACTGAAGTGTATACATACAAGCTGCATTTCACCAACAGAATTATACCTCAATTTTTAAGAACAAGAAAAAGTAATTGGCGTTGCTTAAACACTGTAATAGATGGCAGTAAAGTTTAATGAAAAGAAGTCCTGTGTTACAAAGCTCTGGCTTTACTGATTCTTAGAACCCAGGCCTGTTTCCTCACATATAATGTGCTGAAGCTTAGTATCTGCTCCACATTGGTGCCTAGCATTTCTATCAAGATTACAGAACTTATGTGGTAGTACTAAAGGGAATTAAAATACTTTGAGATGACTGGTAAGTGGGAAAGAGCAGGATAAAGACTTTCTTTCCATGACTCTCACAGAGCCACCTTCTCTGGAAGACCAGGTTGCCCCCTTACAAATGACCTTTCCAGACTGTTGGGGCCCCTCAAGAAGCACTTTTGTTAATTCACTGTCACTACATAACTTCCCAGTCTACCTCAAAACTCTTTTCTCTAAATAAAGCCTGCCCACATAGGAAAACAAGTTAACAGTAACCAACTTAACATTGGTACCACTAATGGGGAGAGGAAAAAGCAAAGAAGTTGGAGACTAAAGAAAGCCAGCATTCAAACCATTCACCTGGGATACTAATAAACTGACAAAAGTCTTAGTACCAGAAACTTCTAAAGCATGTTACATACTTGCTTTCCAACCATCTCCTGCCTTCAAAGGCAACATCCATAATGGCTTTTTATAAACAAAATCCAACAAAAGGGAAATTATTCCTGATTTCACAGACACAAGATGAGGCTGTCCTCTGGCAGGTTTCACTAACATACTCAGGTTCACATGGGCAATGCTATGCCAATCAGGCTTCCACCTAACACCCCTAGGATGGGAATAGGATAAGAGTCTTGAAGGTACCCAAAATCGCAAAGCTCTGGAACTAGCAAACCAATCCCAGCTGTCAATTTGTTAGGACTGACAAAGTGATAACAAGAGCCAGACATTCAGTCCTTCCTTCATTACTCTTCTTCTATACAGTGTCAATAAAAAAATTTGCTTACCTCTCATTGGATCGTATCATGTAGTCAGTAAATTCATGGTCTCTCTTGATCACCTCCAAGGGGACCACAAAGTTGACATCAGAATCAGTGTTCCGTAGCTGATTAAGCTTAATGTTCACTGAGAAGAGGTAATCCCGCACATCGTCTATGCCCACCTTCAGGCCCTTGCACACCACATACCTGGCAGAAGACAGCCTGTCATTCCACCAGGCAAAAGCTTCCTCCCTCACATACCTTCACCCTTAAACTCTTGTTAAGAGCCATGAACTGAAACAGTTTTTCCATTCAGCCTTGTCTTTGCACAAGGAACAGCAAAGACTTTGTGCAGCAAAATTCACCTCAAATCCTTCCTTTTTATGTTAGGCTGTATTTCTATTCTCTATGGCAGTGGTTCCCAACTGCCTTGTTCCAGGCTGGCTATATCATCATCACCTTAGGTGTTAAATTACAGAACTAATGAATCACTCTTCAGGACAGGGCCCAGAACTTTTTAACAAGTCACCTAGCAATTCTAATTGATTGCATCATATATGGCCCTGGGGTGCCAGAGTGCCTCTGCTGACTTCTCCTTGCAGTTTCACAGTCCATGTGCCTTCAGGTACATGAGCCTGTGTACCTGAGCCTGCTCAAGTATACCCCACATCAGCATGAATAAGGCTTATGAAAGAGGTAGAGGCTAACAAGCACATCAGAGAACCAATGATATTCAAATCATGACTCCTACTGGCTCCAATCACTTATTTAAAGTCAAGTTTTTATAAAGTAGCTTCAGAGGTAATGCCAGAGAAATGCACTAAGATCTGCTGTTCTGACATTCAGCCAACTAGTCGAATTAAAACAGCAGAAGGCCTCACCTCTCAGAGTTGGCAGGACGGCTGGTAATTGGTTTAAAAAGACATACACGTTCAAAACAGCAGTACAGCAGATAGATGAGCCCCACACTGAATGGTGTGAAAAGGTCAAAGGTTTTACAGATGAAGTGGCCTCCTGTACAGAGAAACATCAACAGTAGTCAGTGGTTTACTATTCCAAGAGGAGATTCCAGTAGTCTTAGGGAATAAACACACCACCAGTCAGAAACCCCAAAACTCGGGTCCGTTAAAAGGCAGAGGTACCATAATTTGAAAGGAATTTGGGAGTTTTATAGCATTTCTGCCCTAAATTCTTCATTTAGCCACCTTTTATGTGATGTAGACAGATTTTTTTTTTTCTTCCGAATCAAGCCTGTACATACTCTTGCTCAGTAAGACCTCTATGGGTTCGGGGTGGGGAAACAGCTGAGGGAGTGTCACCTGTCCGGACAACAGACAGCGCCATGAGGAACTGACAAAGGAGTAGCTGCTTGCTGAGGATTTCTTGCAGGTTCTCCTGCCCTTCCACTGAGAAACCCTGAAATGAGAGCAGAAGGACTGGGGTGAGAAAGCAAAATGAGAACTGAAAAGAGCATCTCTAGTTCATCACTTTGGGATTTCCTAAACTGTTTTTATTGATTTCTACCACCTCAAATATAAAGATACAAACTTGTAACTTTTAAATTATTGTTTATTACTTTAGCATGGTCCTACAGCTCATCCTGGGTGAAGCCAATACTGGAAAGTAGGCCTGACTACTAGATCAATGTCATTTTCTTGTTCTATGTGCCACATGGTATAAAACCAAGTCTGTTTTTCCAAGATGATCCATAAAATTTTAAAACTTATATGGAAATCCACGGAAAAAGTAAGGCAGAAAAGAAGAAAAACAGTGACTAGTCATAGGCCAACTACAAAATAGGAAATGGAAACACCTGGTGCGTCCCAAGACCCAGGGAGCATATAAGCATGAAAACTGTGCCTGGGTTCACTTGGCCACTGTGTTGACCACTGAACAGGCTCCCATCTGATGAGAGCAGCAGTTAGTACAACTCCGAGAGTCACAGTAATCTCCTCTTCTCTGCTGACAAAGGATTTACTCACAAAATCCACCTTTCTGTCCCAACCTCATGAAGCCTCTTTCTCTAGCTCATGGAGAATTTGGCCAAGGTTTCTGCTCAAAGAATGTGCACTGCTATTTCTGGAGTAGTCCCTCCCTGAGATCCCAGCAAATAGCAAAGAGCCAAGCTCATATAAAAGAAAAAGGTTAGGGATTGAACAAAAGAGAAAAGGGAATTGTTTAATGGGTACAGATCTCAATTTTGCAAAATGAAAAAGCACTGGAGATCTTTTGTGAATATATTTAACACTACTGTACTGTGCACTTAAAAATAGTTGACAAGTTAAATTTTATGTGTTTTTTAATCACAATAATTGAAATAAAAAGTCAAGGAGATTGGCCTTCATTAAGCTGGCCGAGTCAGAATGGTTTTCCCAAACATAGTCCTGTTAAGGTAAAAGTGAATGATTAAAAACCAAAAATGTTTAACAATGTCTTCAAGATTTACAGATGATTCCCAATGCTTATCGAATGCATGTCAGTTTATGGGGTCAATCAAAAAAAAGAGAAAGCAAAATAATAATAAATCAAACCACACCATCAGTCTGCATTGCCTAGGCAGAAAGACAGTCTTTGAGTTCACAACTCCAGCCACCATATAGCAATGCTGCCCCCACAACCTCTCTCCTTTCCTCTTCAAGTCTATCCATCCCTGTTTTGCTCAATACTTGATGAGACTGGGTATCTTCACATCCCTGACGACATCCTACACACTGCTTCATCTCTCCACATGACTACTGCTTGAGGGGCCACTTAAGAAACCTCCCCCCCCCAGAGGCTTTTCTCAACTCTAGTCATAGGACCCTGGAACAATTGCCACATTCTCTGCTGTTCCCCCCGCCACTCCCAAATGGCTTACTCCAGAAAGATTATTTGGCATCAGATTACTGGGGGTGAAAGTTACAATGGGGTCCTATATTGCCCATAGACAGGGGTGCTTAAATATTCACTTCCACCTTGTCACTGACAGAGGTTCCTGTGGATTCCCTGGGCCACTGCCTTTGGTGATGTGGTCATCTGCTAGCCTATGGAGAGGTTGAGGAGTAGGGACATATAGACAGTTTCTGCCAGGAGCAGGCCCCAGGGGACAAATGATGGAAATGTTTTTGCTGGTATCAAATTTATTTTAGTCATGAAGCTCCCCTCACTGTGTCTCAAAGCCAACAAAGACATCTTTGAAAAAATGAGAAGCAAAGTGCACTTGCTCCAAGCAAAGTTATTCCCAGCACAGTCTATACCAAGTTATCACTGGAATATGTATATGAAGAATAAAAACATGTATCTGTTACACTATCTGAATAGTGGGGGCAACTAAAGAACCAAACTAAAGCAATTTAAAAGCCTCTGACATAATAAATCCTTCATGCATTACCCTGTGGAAAGAGCAAATCACCTACCCCATCGGCCATAAGAAAGTGAACACCCTTGCGGTCTGTGTTATCCAGGACAAAATTCCGAAAAGCAGTGATGTTCTCTGGGCGAGTGATATCTCCATCTCCATCAATCCCACCCTCACCTGGCAAGACATATGACTGACAGTAAGCACATCTGCTGCGTGCATCCCAGGAGCTGGGACACAAGCTCCCTGGGACAGTACACACAGGTAGCATTCACTTGTGGGCCTTGAATTCAGGACGAAGTCCCTGTGAGAAGTAACTCATACAGGACTGGCTCAGCAAGGATGTCTATCAGTGATGGACCAATAGGCAATAAAAACACAGCCCCGCTATTAGAAACCAGAATCCAAAAGGAGTTGACCAGCGAAGAGTCATCACTGAAACAGGCCGTTCCGCAAAACTGAAGTTGTGTTGAAGCATCTCTATTTAGGAACCAATGTGAATTTTTTATAAGGACCATTAAGAAAGAACTTGAGACTTGCTGCCAGTCCTAACAGTTGAGACAGTGAACTGCTGGGTTCAGGGCTGGAGATGGGCATGGGGTTTGTGCTTGTTAATGTCCTCAGCTGGAGACTAGACAGCGTCATTTTCTCCTGTTACAAGAGAAGGAAGAACTACTATAGCTTCAATAAGAGTTTGCTTATACACTTGTAGGCTGGGGGTAAAAGGACAACCCAGAGGGAAGCAAGGCCTTTAGGGCATGGTCTGAGAATCCCAGACTGAGAGACCTAAGAAAGAAAACATGCAAGTGGATAACTGCTTCTGACCTAAAATCCCCAGAGGATGATCCCTGAGTCCCTGGTGCCCTCCTCAGTGTCCCTACCATAGTAGGGCTCAAAGAGCTCACTGGAGGCCGAGTAGAAGTCCTCCAATTTAAAGTCGTTAGGGCCCTTCAGAGTCATTCCAAAGCCCTTAGCATGCCACTTCTTCCTCCACAGCACATACTCCGAGAAGCCACCTGGGCCTGCGCAGACATCAGCAAAGTACAGCAGCTCAGCATCCCGGTCCTTCATCAGTGGTTTCTGCAAAGGCAAATGGAGAACAGGGGAGGAAGGGGAAAAAGGATGGCTCAGTGGGACATACGAAGCAGAATGCAGGAAGAGTAGAACAAACCTTTCAACAAGCACAATGCAGCACTCCCCCCAGGGCCCGAACATCCAGGAAGTAAATGCATCCTGAGATCAGCACGCTCAGAAACTGCCCATCCCCACCTCAAAATTCCTGACGCTTTTCAAAGCACCAAGCCTAGCTCTGACTCCTAATAAAAACATCTTAAATGAGCATCAATGTGCATTTCTGATTTCTCAGTCTTTTCCTCACTGTAGTCTACCTTACAAAAGACCTACTGAATAGAATAGATCCGGTATCTCTGACATTACAGGTAGGGAGAAAGACACTAAGATACAAAGTGACCTGTTAATAGCCAGTCTGTCACAAAACTAATCAAATTCCAATCAGTCTGTCCTCCAGACTCAAATCTTCCTGTCCAACCAAACATGGGGGTTCAAACTATCACCCTCTCCCGGTGAGGTCCTACCTTTCCAGATATAACTTCTGCTTCCTTCTCTGCCTCTCTGGCTCTCTTTTTATTTTCTAATTAATGTTTAATTTTGGAATAATTTTAGATTTAGAGAAAAGTCGCCAAGACAGTCAGAGTTCTTGCATACCCTTGACCAAGCCTTCAGTTTTGTTACCATCTTACAAAAATACCTTGCCATGGTGCACATGTCAAAACTAAGAAACCAAATTTGTGCACCACTATTAACTAAACCCCAGGATGATTCAAATTTCCCTACAGTCCTTGTTCTATTTGATTCCAGGATCCAGAGACAGCACATTTAATCTCTTCCCTTTTTGCGGTCCATTCCTTTTCTCCTTGCATTTGCCAGCAGGTGCCTAGGGTAGCACACAGTTGTAGCTAGAGCTGGCAACGCAGAGAAGGAAGGAGACACTGGTGTGTAGCTTCCAGGCAGCCCTCAGAGGACCCGCCCTCCTCAGTAATAACTATACTGCAGTCATCATTTGGGTTTTCATTGGGTTACATTTTTGACCACTCGAGCAGCTATAACTCTCAGTCTAAAATCCACGGTGAAATCAGCTCTCGTCAATATTCTGTCCTTACATCTCACTTTTACACAGCTTAACCTAGGTAGTGAATTCTCCTTGTCCTGACTCTCAGTTACAGGCTGACTGGCAGCAGAAGTTGAGTAGATGACTGCAAAAGACCCCAGCAAACCTCCAGTAGGAAGTGGCTTAGGTAACTCAGTCTTCCCTCTACAAGTTCAGCATGGCTGAATGCTAGTCCAGACTTCCTTAACTTCTAGAAAAAGATCAGAAAAGTTTAGGAGAAACGAAAGGAAGGCAATGGAAATATCAGTGTTCACTTTTCAGGTGACAAGAGCCTTGCCTCTGATGACGGCTTTATCAAAACAGTCTCCAGAGAAAGTGATTCCACTAAAAATAAACTCCATCCTCCTATGACAAGCCCACCCAGGCATGCAGGGATATATCATTCTTTCCCCCCTTCCCCAACACTCCACCCTAGCACTCTCTGTTCCTGAGCCATCAATTATTCAAATTTTTGGATTATATTCATTTGCACACACACAAAAAGGAAAGTTCTAATAGCATTTGCCAAGAACATTATGTAGCGCGCTTTTGAGGCAGCACACTGGTAATGAGGCAGGGGTCACAAGTTTAAGACCTGCACACACTGGAAAAAGAAGAAACAGTGTTCTTCACTGCCAGCAGGGCAGGCCCAGGCTACCTCTCTGGGTGAAACACTGACTCCAAGGAAAACTGGGGGGAATATAGGGAAGTGAATCAATGAAAGCATCTCACCTCTAAAAAAGGGCATAAAAATGATCTCATACTGCGACTTTAAGACATGTGGCCCACACAAGCCATGGCCAGGAGGTCTTTACAGACAGGACAGCTGGAGTTCTCACCTCTGCCATTTCCTGGCCATGCAGTCAAGGGCAAGCACACAATTTACATCTTTGAGCTTGAGCCTCCTCGACTGTAAATTGGAACTAATGTAGGTTATCTCTTAAGGCTGTTGTAAGATTAAATAAAGAACCATATGTCAAAAGCTTTTTAAACTCTAAAATACTGAACAAATGTAAGATGATACTGTACTCAACTAGATCATCTTCTTGGGGTCAAAACTCGTTCTTTTCTATTTCCAATGCCTTAGAATAGTATTCCACCCTCACTGGGTTGTTTAATTTTCTCTGAACTAGGACTGAAACTTAAGACCTACATTCAGTTTTGTCTCCTGCTAACTTCAGAGATGATGTTTTCTTCAGCAATATCCCCAGGTTTACAAATCCTTCACGTAATGGAAACACCCACAGAATCTAAATTCCTTTCCTTGCTTTATTTCTTCCAGTTCTTGCTTGTAATTTCTTTTTCTCCCTATCCTAGACCCTTTTCTCCTTTTTCTACAATCTACAGAACCAGAATTTTTTTTTTAATATAAGAAACCTCAGTCTCCACACCCTTAGTTGTCACTTCCCAACCTCACCACAATGCCCAAGCACAAATTCTCCATGCTCTTATTCTATAATCTGTCTGATCCAAGACCCACTGAGACCCTAGCAAAGTGTTTTCAAGCCTTCAACCACTCCCATCGCTGCTGAGGACTGCTCAAGAGTGTATCTGCTAGGCTTGTCACTCTTGGTCCTCAGGGAAAAACAGAGATGAAAAGAGAGAGGAAAACACTAGGGGCTGGAGAGAAATCACTTTTTATAGTAGAATATAGAGAAATATCTCTGAAAGGGCAATTCTCCATGGCCACTAACAATCAATTCAGGTCAAGAAGCTGCCTGAAGCACTACAGACACAACTGCCTTTTCCTATGTAACTAGCATCTCTACCCTCAACCTGAATGGTACAACCCTGGTGCCTACTTCATTTTCATGACAGCAAAAGACAATAACCAGATACCAGCTGCTAGAGGCATTTACATTCAAAAGCCCAAAATGATGCCGTGACTTCCAATCAGCTCAACAGAGCTCCTCTGCCAGGCAGGGGTTTAAAGGAAATCATTTGGAACTCAGAAAATTAAATCAACATTATATCAACCTAATTTTCTCAAGATGCTAATTCCAAGAGCCCTTTTGTGCTGCCTGCTGGTAGTGGAAAATGGGGAGGGAGACCTAGGAGAGAGAAATGACTAAAGGCTGGAGGGATCTACATGCCAGTATTGCCAGCGTGGAAGAAGTAGGTAGGTGGAGCTGAAACATTAAAGAACCTGGAAAATAAGTTTCTTTAGCTATCAGATAATCAGGGGGCCCAGTGGAAAGAGGGTGAGTGAAACAGAAAGAGGTTTGGAACAGCTGGATCCTGGCCTCTTCACTGTCAAAAAGAGAACTAACTTTCTGGGACTAGGTAAAAATGCTTTGAAACCCTTAAGAGAATACTAGAATGAAAACCTTTTTTCTTTCTCTATCATTATCGAGGGTTGGTGTTCAGAGAAATAAGATGTAGCAGAGTAGAAAATCATTTTACTCTACCACTTCCTGAGAAGGTCCAAAATCTGATAATTATAATCCCACCCAAAGCTTGTTCAGAGAGGCAGAAAGGGTAAGCGGCCACATCCAAAATCATAGATCTTAAGAGCTAGAATGGATCTTAAAGCCTTTTGGGCCTACCTCTACCGTCCTGTCCGTCAGTAGGGCTAATTTCAGAGATGAGACAGCTGAGGCCCAAACGTTAAGGAACACCACCTGTGGTGTAAGCGCCGCATTCCCTGCTCCCCACCCCCT